GAGAAGATGCTGCTGCTGCTGTGAGCTCTCCATCCCTCTTGGTTTTCCTTGTGCTGTGTTACCAAGACAGCACTGAGATTAAATACAGCACCTTTCCCAGATTCTTCTCTTTTTAAAATGGCCTTGGCAGTCTGCTGAGATTCCTGCCTCCAAGCTGTAACTTCCAAGCTGCGGATATACAAGCACCATTTCATATAGGTTTAGATTAGATATGTCACTATCAGAGCCCTGATAAGAATGCAAAAGCAGTAGCTTGTGCAACAAGCTTTCCATCAATGCAGATATTCAGAGAAGACCAGCCCTCAGCCCTTGTCGTCTTATTGCAAAGGGTTTGTATTGCTTCTTCAAGGGAAAGGCAGCTCTATCACTGCTAGCACAAGAGCCTTAGCTCTGCTTATCAATCATCACCTGGGGACCAGAGCTTACAGAAGATTTGGACTTTGCTGCTGGGAACTTGCTTTACAATAGGAATAAAGTTGCTGGCTCTGCCACCCACTTCCCATTCTCTTGCCTCCAACATCTGTGGTATAGAGCTGTGGCCTCTCTCCAGGCACAGGGACCCTCTGTTTGTGCCCTCAGAGGACGTGTACTGTCCTAGCAGGTTGGTCTTTGGTGGGGTGAGGCTGCCCTCCAACCACAGCCAAGCTCGTGGAGTCAAGGTAAAGGACTGAAAATGGTGCTCATTGCTTATGGAACTACTTTGTGCCAGGACAAGGAAAGAAAATGTTGGGAAAGAAATGGAGCCATTAGCAGTCAATGTTCTTGAGTGAGGAATGCCTGGAAGAGACCCCCCAAAGCAGAGTCAGTGAAGATTTAACCAGTGGTGCATCAGACCCCACCAGACAGCTGCAGTGCAAACATTTCCCCCTGATCCAGGCATGTGAAGAGCCCCTGAGACACAGTGGGGATAAGGAAACTTTTATCTGAGCAAGTGCAGGAGACCGTCGTGTTGGCATGGAAAGGCAGCAGCCTCCAAGTGGTCAGATGAACCCAGTCCTGGAGGGACACCTGGCTGTCACTGTGGCCCAGCACTCACCTGCCCAGCTGTGCTCCCCCTCATCCTCATTTATCAAGCACAGTGGCTCACTCAGTGCTTCTCACAGAGGGTTGCAGGTGATTAGTCAAGGAGAGCACCTTGGGGCCAGACAAGCTTGTGGAGGAGGCTGTTCCTGTCTCTCCCTGAGGCAAATATATAACCACAATCTATATATAAAATGAAACAAAGTCCAAGCAATAACCCCAAGACCTTCCCTAGCAGCCAGTGCTCCTTAGCTGGGGAAAGCAATGAGCCAAGAGTGATGCACCAGCCAGAGGGTCAGTGCTGAGGCAGGACACAGCTGTGAGGAGGGCAGAGAATTGCATGGAGTCGGACAGCAACTGAGCCTTCTCCAGGTTCAGGGCCACAGAGGTGCTCCATGGAGAACAACCGTGGTGCCAGCAAGACCAGAGCTGTGGACAAAGCCCAGGATTGCCACTGTCCATGTCCCTCTTGGTTATGTCATGTTTTTATAGTCAAAGTGCCTCCCTGAGCACAGGTATCCCCCCTTTTGCACATTAGAGAGCCTGACTTTTCCAAAGTCACCTAGAGAAGCCGATAAAGCATCTTCCTTGTCCAGTCCCTAACTGGGAGTCATAGAGTCCACATGCTATGGGATTGCAGATTTTGATAAAAAAATGTGATTATGCAGTATAATGTAAACTTCAGCACAGTAGAACCAGATTGCACAACCTTCTCCAGGATATAACAGCTTCTCCAATATCCCACAGGGATGCCAGCAGTGCACAATTCCTTGAGCTCCCTTTCTGCTCTGCCTTTGGCCTACAAGATCCAAACCACAACACAGATGTCTTTGACCTGGTTGTGAAACACCTTGCTCTGAGGCAAGAGCGTTGTACTCAAATGTGAGGAAAGGGCCAACATGCTGGCAGCTCCTTGCCCTGCAGAATCACCAGAGGTGGAAAAGTCTGTATGTGCATATTTGCAGATGAGAGGAAGTGATCCATGTGGAAGTTCTGCCTCATGTCAGCTGAGATATTGGCAATTTAGATCAGATTTGGAAAATGGGGCAAAGAATCACCTTTGCTGTAACACAGATGCAGCTTTGTACAGTATAATTTATTTACAGTCATATATTTCTGTCTTATATCTCCTTGACATGAGGCTCAAATAAATAATTCTGGGTGCATGTTTGCCTGCGCAGCTACAAACATTCTGCAAACTTCCTTAGCTCCCTTCCTGATGTAGATTCTGAGCCTAAATTGTGCTTGCATCTGAGAAGGCACAACTGAAATACTTTGATTTCTGGCCAGAACCTTGCAGTTTTTACCTAGAATCTCCCTGTTCTCTCTGTGAATGTTCACACTTCTGTACATGAGAGGGCAGGGGACATAGAACTTCAACAACTCCCAGTGATAAACTCCTGTAATTTTCCTCAGCCAACGTAAACACACTTCCCACTGGGAAGTACTCTGTACATGGCAGTAAATGGCATTGCAAAATCCCAAATTTCCTGGTCACTGCCTTTCTGGACCTGCCTGGTGTTGTCTAGGTCACATGTCTGAAAGATTTTGTTTGAATGTGATGTTCAGCCCCCAGGCAACTTGTGGGCAGAGACAGGACTGGGAGTAATGGGGACATTTTTGTTCTGCTCAGGGTTATGTGTTGCTTTTTTTATTAAATGTGGGGCTTTTTAGACCTGGATGAGAGTTGGGGTCCTTTTTGTGTGCCCTTTTCTGAATGTCTCACTGGGGACAGGAGAGATCTTGCTGAAAAGAAGGTAATAAAATCCCAGGACAGAATCCTCTGGGGAGAAGATGGGTGAACATGAAGAACCTCCTTCCCACCCCGATGAGCTCTTGCATCAGCTTTGTATCCAACCCTCCAGCCGCAGGACACCGCCCGTGCTTCCTTTTTCTCAGCTCCAAAACTTCGGAGAGGTGTTTCCCGGCTTTTGTTGGGATAGCGTCCATAACGCAAAGGGTGGAGGGATCTGTGCGAGGGTGGGAAAAGCTGGGTGGGATCAGGGAAAGGGATGTGCAGCGCTTCCAGGATGCCTGGACACAAGGCACTGCCGCCATCTAGTGATTTGGGATTCACCGGTGGCTCCGGCAGAGCCGCTGGTCCACAGCGCTCCTGGGGATGCTCTGCCGGGGAAATGGGCCGGGGATCGCCCGGGAACCCCGACCCAGCGTGCCTCTTGTGCTTCGGACACGTCTTGTAAAATGCAGGCGAACCCCGTGGGAAGAAATGATGATGTCCGACTCCAGTTCAGAAGGCTGAATGACTTCCTTATTATAACTATGCTATAATACATTAATATACTATAGAAAGAAAGATACTAAAACTACATACTATTTTCTCTAACTACCATATCTAACTAACCCCCAACTCCTGACCCTGTTTGCGAGAGTCCAGCCCCAGGTGGGTTGGATTGGCCATCAGGCTCAAACAATCCTCGCCAAAATCCAATCAAGCAATCACCCCAGGTAAACAATTCTCCAAACACATTCCACATGGGAAAAACAAGGAGCAGAAATAGAATCTGTTTTCTCTTTCTTCTCTCTGTGCACCTCTATGAAGAAATCCTGAGAGAGAGAGAACGTCCCTGTGACAGACATGACACTTTGCTAGAAAGGATGGAAAATCTGCTCGGCAAACACGAACTTGAGAGTTTTGCTGGGCTTGTCTTTGAGTGTTGCAATGTTTGGGGTTGAGACATGACATTTTAGGAAAAAATTTAATTTCTGCTGTTATACATGTCTTTATGCTTGCTCAATCCTTGTCACGCTTTGGGATGCCTTTGGAAGGTGGAGAGGTTGAGGAAATTCCCCTGGATGAATGAAAAATTATGCATTCAAAAAAAGAAAAAAAAAGGTAAAGTCTGACACCAGCTTTACCTGGAATTTGCAAATACAGGTGATTCATGACATATGAGTCCAGAGACCACAAACTGCTCAGGAGTGGGCAAGGTCCAAAGTAGAATTGCAAATCCCAGCAGGAATATGGAGGCAGTGAGTAAGACCAGGTTAATTAGAGGCTATTACATTTTCCAGCTCTTCATCTGTTGCTGCAGTGGATGAGTCCTGACAAGCAGCATGGACATATTCTTCCCCTCTTTTTCTTAAAAATTCAAAATATTATTAAAGAATCATGGAATGAATCATGGAATCACAGAATGGTTTGGGTTGGAAAGGACCTTAAAGATCATCTGGTTCCAACTGCCCTGCCATGGGCAGGGACACCTTCACTAGACCAGGTTGCTCAGAGCTCCACCCAAAATGAAATGCCACTCTAAACTTGAGTTCATGGAAATGATGTAGGGCTGAGCATGGGAAAACCTCTCCAAGTAAATGGCAGTGTCATCCTGGTTTGTGTCCCAGGCTGTGTTCTGTGCTCACCTGTGACTGCCACATCATCAGTCCCTGCACCCCAGCAGTAACCACTGACCTTGTTAATGAGGGTTATCACTGCTGACAGATCCAGGGCATGGAGAGGGTTGTGGCAACAACCTCTTTGCAGATGCAGAGCAGCAGGTATCCTGCTGTAATCCTTTTTTTTTTTTTTTTTTTTTTTCAGGGCTCCTGCATCCCAGAGGGATGTATTGCTGAAGGAATCATCAATCTCATTGTAAGCTCTTCACTTGGAAAAAAAAAATGGATGCATTAATGAAGTTATTTCACATAGTTAAAACACACGTTAAAAGAATTAGACATAGGGTAAGTGAATGCCCAGAGGTCCCATGCTGGTGGGAATAGGTGAGGTCTCATTGAAATGTGCTGGGTGACTCTTGCAGAGATGTACATTGGTGATATTAAATACTTGCATTGGTAATAAAAACTATCAGCTTGTGCAGTTCTGCCTATGGATTTGATCCTGTCCTTGTTCCAGCCTGAATCTGAGCTGAGCTCAAAGTGTGCTCTGCCACTGCATGGGCAAGGAAGGAAAATCCTGAATTCACCTTGGCACACCATTATGGAGAAGGGGAGAGGTTAGAATAGAGGAGGCAAATCACATATCCTGCAGCTTTTGCTATTTCTTTTATTTCTAATATTTCACTGTTTTGTCCAGAGATACTACTTGCAGTTTTTTGTGTCAGCTACCACTGGAGCATGTTGAGGAGCTGACACTGTTTTGGAGATATCAGCCACTCCCCTCAGCATCTAAGTAAATAATCACTGGGAGCTTCCAGGGACTCCAGGGATGGTGATGGGGAGGTTTGACCATCGAATTAGGACCAATCCCCGAAGAACAAGGTCCAGCCTTGCTGTTTTATCCAGAACCATCTGAAAAGACCTGGATCTACATCTGGAATGGGGACAGACTTCCATTACAGGGTGAGTACCCCACTGTATGCCAGTGTGCCAAGAAGATGTGGTTACTACAGGTACAGGGAGGACTGTGGGGCCACAGCAGGTTTGGGTGGCTCAGGCTTCATCTTTGTAATGTCATGAGGAATACTGAGCACAGAGAGAGTGGGGAGATGCAGGCTGGTTGGTGATATAATTTATATAATTATAGATAAGTAGTTCCCTTCCTAGCTGGTTTCCTAGAGGTGTGCTCTGCTCTGGCCCACTGTTTTGGCTTAGATATATTATTAAAATGCTTGTTTGCTTCCTGCTCTGCTACAGCTGCCCTGTTCAACATTGAGCAATGCCATCAAAAGCAGCTCTGTCCAGAACCTGAAATGTACCTACTGCCTCTACCTAAAGAGCCTGCAGAAAGAGTATTTTAGGATGTTGGGTGCAGAAAAGTCTTTTTCCACACCACTGCCCAGGGCAGTGAGTGGACCACTGTCTATCAGAGATTTTTCTCATTGCTCCAGTTAGAACCATAATAAAGAGAGAGAGGCAATGTATTTAGTGTCAGACTCCAGTGCTTTGGTGGGTGGTGTGTCCCTTGCTGCAGATGTGGGCTCCGTGGCTCACAGCAGGCGCAGGCTGTTATCAGCCATCCTCTGTACCTCTCTGCTCCTGCCTGCTGGCCTGAAGTCCTTTTGCTTTCTCCAGCACTGAGCCGCGTCCTGGGTTTGTGCAGCCACCGGTCCTGTGCTAACCTTGCCCTTCAAAAAAACAGTGATTATATTAAAATAAAAAAGCAGCCCTTCCCTGCAAAGAAGTGGATTGTTTTTGCACAGCCCCTCCCATGTCTCCTCTCTCCCCTGTGCCTCAGTTTCCCCATTGATGTGACAGGGCTGTTGGGAGGCTGAGCAGAGCTGAGTTCCAGACTGATTGTTCTTGCAAGGGACTTCTGGGCTTTCCTGACCCAAACTCTTCCTTAAGCAGCTTCAATCTCAATTTTAAATCCAAACTCACAGTTTAATCAGGTCTCTCCATGTTTCCCCATTGGAAGTCGGAATGTCTCAGGGTTATAGATGAGACCACAAGGTCTCCATGCCCTCTGCCTGATCACTCTCAGGCTAAAAGCTGTCTCCTAATATTTAACCAGATTTCCCCCTAGCTGCAGCTCGCACCTGCTGCCCCTTGTCCCGACTCCTGGCACCGGTAGAGAAGCAGCTGAGCTCCGTCTCTCCCGCATATTCCCATTCCCAGGCTTGCTGCCGGCTGTGAGGACAAAGTGTTCCGTGAGCACAAGCGCAGAGGGCGGCCGGGCCGTAAGCGGCGGCCGCGGCTTCTCTGGGCACTTCCGAGCCGAGCCGAGCCGAGCCGAGCCGAGCCGAGCCGAGCCGAGCCGAGCCCGCTGAGGGGGCGGCGGCGCTGAGGGGATGGCGGCACTGAGGGGGCTGCAGCGCTGAGGGGGCTGAGGGGCTGCAGCGCTGAGGGGCTGCGGCGCTGAGGGGGCTGCGGGGCTGCAGCGCTGAGGGGGCTGCAGCGCTGAGGGGGCTGAGGGGCTGCAGCGCTGAGGGGCTGCGGCGCTGAGGGGCTGCAGCGTTGAGGGGGCTGAGGGGGCTGCAGCGCTGAGGGGCTGCAGCGCTGAGGGGATGGCGGCGCTGAGGGGCTGCAGCGCTGCCCAAGCGCCTGAGGCGGGCACAGCCGCGGGGTCCGGGGCAGACGAGGCAGCAGCGGCGGGATTTGCGCCACTCCGGAGGATTTAGCTCAGCCCTTCCTGCGCTGCGTCAAATCCTGTCCTTAGTTTAACCCCTTTGAACAAAATCAGCCTGCTCCTCTGAAAACGTAACGATTTCTTTCTTTTTTTTTAATTTAAAGGTCCTGCTTTTGCAAACAACCCACAAAGGTTCGTGACGTGCTTCTGCAGCGACTTCTGCGCCGTCAGGGCTTTTCCCCAGGCGGGAAGTGTCTCCCCGGGCCGGGTGGAGGGAAAGCGGGACAAGGAGGCTCCAAGCTTGGCACAAATCCCAGGCAGCCTTTCCACCCTCCTGCAAAGTGCCGAGTGTCCTGCGCTGAGCCTGGCTGCTCCAGCTTCCTGGGGGAGGAGGTGTTTGTTCTCTGGGCAGCGCTGTCTGCCCGCGGGGGAAGTTTTGGAGTTGTTTTGGGATGAAGGACTGTTCCTGGTGCGGGGGTACTTTGGGGTGCTGGCAGTGATCGCCGTGCCCCCCCAGCAGCCATGGAGTATGTCAGCACACGGGGAGGCACGGGGGCCGTGGACTTTGAGGGAGCCCTCTTCTCTGGCTATGCACCCGATGGGGGGCTCTTCATGCCCCAGCGCATCCCCTCGCTGGACAGGGACATCCTGCAAAGGTGGAGCACTCTGTCCTACCCTGAGCTGGTCAAGGAGCTGTGCTCCCTCTTCGTCCCGGCCACGCTGGTCCCACGGAATGCGCTCAATGGTGAGCTGAGCGGGGAGCTGCTCGTGGGGATGTGAACGAGGGTTTGGGGGGTCTGGATGCATCTGCCTGCCTTTCCCCCATCCATGCCCCCAAGAGAAGGAGCCTGCTGCACATTACCTGCTCCTTTCTGTAGCTTGCTCTCCTCTGTCACCTTGCTGGCACTAGTGGAAAAGGTGTCCCCTGTGTAAAAATAGAGGTTTTGGTGACAGCAATAAGCTGATGTTGTGGCCCTGCTCACTTGGGGCTCCCTCCAGGACTTTCTGCTGCTTCACACTTGCCTTGAGATGTGTTTTTTGTTTTTAACACTTATGAGCTATCTTTTCCACCAGAGGGCAGCTGCAACCTCTGTCTCGATGGCACGTTGGTATAAAACTTGGGCTTCCTGTATTTTATGTTTTAATATAGTTTTGCTGATTGTGTGGCATGTCCCCTGGGATTACTTAGCACAGAGTTATCAAATAGCATGAAGCTGGGCTGGTTCATTCCTAATAACCACAAATAACTTGTTTGGTATCTGTTACTGCACCAGCAACTGAGAGCCTTTGCTTGTGCAGAAAGGTACCCATGAGCACAAAGAGCAAAGATGCAAGAAGCCATGGGTCAGAAAAACACTCCTTTGATTTAACAGGCCATTTAACCGTTTTCCCTCTAGAGCTGATCGACAAGGCCTTCAGCAGATTCAGGCACAAGAATGTTGTGCATCTGTCCAGGCTGAAAGATGGGCTGAACATTTTGGAGCTCTGGCATGGTGTTACGTATGCATTTAAGGACCTGTCCTTGTCCTGCACAGGACAGTTTTTACAGTATTTCTTGGAGAAAAAGCGGAAGCATGTCAATATTCTGGTGGGTGAGTATGACTCCTTGGAGGAAAGGTTCTTGGGCAGGTCTTTACCTGGAGAGCCATCATCCTACAGCCATCCCCAAAGATGCCCCAGGATGGTATTGCCTCGTAATATCCAGGCAATACCAAGGTGGCTGCTCTGGCCAAAAACATCTTATGGAGCATCTCTGCATCTTTTTCTTAAAGAGCAGTGATGCAGGGTAGATTGACACAACAATTTTTTGCTTTTTTTGGTGCTTCCTCACTTTGAAACAGGAACTTCAGGGGACACAGGGAGCTCAGCCATCGAGAGCGTGAGAGGGCAGAAGAATGTGGACATCTTTGTTCTGCTGCCCAAGGGGTTCTGCACCCAGATACAGGAACTACAGATGACCACTGTCATTGAAGACAACGTCCACGTCTTTGCTGGTTGGCACCGCTGTTTGGACTGTCCACTTTATGGCTCTGCTGTGTCAAAACCTTGACCCTAAAAGTCTGAGGGGGCTGCTCAGTGGGGTTTGCAGCTTTAGCAGCTGCAGCCAGCTGGGTTGTTGCTATCACCATGTCCAGACATCTGGCTAACAGGACACAACATCCCCAGGCTGACAACCAAGCAGTGGTTGGTCCAAGCCTCAATTCAGGTGTTTGGTGTTTGGCTGAACTAAATTCAGCACTGTTTTTTGTCACTAACAGGATTTGGAGCCACCCCTTCCCTCTGTCCTCTTGCCTTCATGGGTGATCCACCTCCTACCACCGTGCCATCCCTGTGGATTGACATCACCACTGGGTGCTTGAGCTGCTTGGGTTCCCATGAACTCCTCTGCTCAGCCTGGTCTCGCCTTGGCATCTCACAAGGGGATGCAGCATTTGCCTTCCTGGCGAGTTTATATTTGGTAGAAACAAGAGCCCAGAGTGCTGTGTCAGAAACCACCTGACATCCACAGGGTGCCAATCAGGCCCTGGTTCACACAGCCCCCAGGGCAGATGGGCAACTCCTGGCCACAGCAAACCCCAGGGCTTGAGACCAACCCTATTTCTGAGCAGAAACACCTCGTGCCTGATGCACTGCTGCTGGCAGTTCTAATCTTTCCTTTCTCCTTTTGACAGCTCATGGGAACAGCGATGAAATCGATGAGCCAATCAAGGAACTGTTTGCTGATGTCGATTTTGCTGGAAAATACAACCTGATGAGCTTGAATTCTGTCAATTGGTCCAGGATTATGGTGCAGATTGCCCACTACTTCTATGCTTACTTTCAGTGCACCCCATCCCTGGATACCACCCAGCTGCCAATAGTGGAAATTGTTGTGCCAACGGGAGGAGGAGGAAATATCACGGGTAAAGGGAAAAAGAGATGGGTTAGATAAGAGAGAGAGAATGCTCTGATCTATGGACCAAAAGCACTTTACAGATACTGGGTATTGCTGTTTATTAAAACACCCACTCTCTGGTAGGATTTCTTCAGAACCACTTATATTTTATTACTCATATATGGTTATTACTCAATTTAGGTGTCACTGATTATATGCAAGGTGCAGAAAAACCCAAACCACCCTTTGATGATGACTTTAACTATCTTGAGGATGGGCACATTAGGAGAGGACAGAATGTGTTTGATGCAGAAAAGAGGGAAAATGCTGTGGCTCTGATTATTTAAGTGAGACATTAACAGAGGTGTGGAGTCCTGCCTGGTCCTCACTGGTTTGCATGGTAATGCATGGTCAGGAGAACCACTCTTAATTGCATAATCTGGCCTTCTAAATGAGAGTCCTTGATTGCCTCAGTCCCAAAATAGGTGTAGAACTCCCTTATGAAAGCAATAAAGGATTTTGTATATTCACTCCTCTTTCAGGCTGCCGTCAGAGAGGGAAAAGCCCAAAATCTTCAACTCACCTGTGTGCCTGTCAGCTGCCTGAACTCTCTGTCCCCTGCCTATCCACCAGCAAAACTGGAGATGAGCAAGGGTCTGTGTACAATGGCAGGTGGAGCATTGCATCCCTGGATTTTATAATCTGTACTCTACCAAACCACTGAAGTCAGATATCTCAGAGTCCACTAGGGAATATCATTTGTATCTGCTTCTGAATTAGATGCTCAATCAATTTGTACAATGACTTCTTTGCTAAGTCTCGTTCAAATGTTTCTTCATCAAGCACTTATACATTTTTTTTCACTTCTTTTCCCTAGCTGGCTGTATTGCCCAGAAAATGGGTCTCCCAGTTCGACTTATTACTGTGGTGAACAGCAATGACATAATTCATAGGACTGTTCAACATGGAGATTTCTCAGTGGCAGAGAGTGTGAAGGCTACGTTAGCATCAGCCATGGATATCCAGGTATGTAGTGAGCTGGCCAAAATGCAAAAACAGAAGATATTGCTGGTGCTTGTTAAAATCTTGTGTTCTGTTCTACCTGTAAAATTCTGCCAGTCAATGATGCATTAGGAGGTGTGACTCATATTGACCATTTATCATATAGACTGCTGAGATGAGATAGATCAGACTCCTCCCTCACTTTTCAGGGCTTGACTTTCTGATCTTTGTTGTTGAGTGCTGGGTTTCTGGGGTTCGTTCTGTGGAAGCTTAGCAAGACAGGGACATTTCCACAGCATGTGACAACTAGAGAATAAAAATGCCATCATGTCACAAGGGTTTTGTTGATGCTTCTGAAAAGCTCCACAAAGAGCAAGAGGAAAGACTAGGAAGGAGGATGAGAAGTCCAGAAGAAATGCCTTGTTCATGGCTGCCTGCAGCTTGCTCAGAGCAAAACAAGTCTCAGCAGGCAGGGAAAGGCCATGGAAAGAAAAGTCATGGAGGTTACAGAAACCAAACACCTGGAAGCACATACCTCCCCTTTCATTCCCATCCTGGGATCCCCAGGGATTAGATTTGCTTCCAAACAAGTGATCAAAGTGGGAAACCCTTGGTGTTGTATCTCTCTGGCCTTAAGCTATCTGGATTTTCCAAAAGCTGTTCAAGCACACTGGGAAGACCTGGGAGTCTGGAGGGACTGCCATGCTTTGCAGTCACTAAGTCCCTATGCCCCTATTATCAGGCTGTGCTCTGCAGCTTGGCTTTCCTCCTGAGCCAGGAACCTGTGGGGCTTCTCAGAGCTCCAGGGGTAACCAGGCTTTTCTCTCAGCCCATCTCCCTTCAGTAGCACTGGTCAGCAAGTGCCAGACTTTGGGATCTTGGGGGCAGAATAAGGTGAGGAGATTTCCTGAGATTCCTGAGGAGCTAGTTGAGTGAATCCCTCTGCACATTCCTCTCCATGGCTGCATGGGATGTCATTGTTCAGCTCACATCTGAAACATCCATGCAAATATTTCTGTAGCTAAAGAGATCATTGTTCTGGAGCGGAATTCAGGAGGGCTCTGGCTGGGACTTGTTTAAAGCAGGTTCAACCTTCAGGTCATGTGGGATTGCTCAGGGCTTCATCCATTTGGGTGTTGGAAACCTTCAAAGATGGAGAGTGCACAGCCTCTTTAGGTTGCTGCTTCTGCAGACTAAAATAAGGCAGAGAAAACTTTCCTGTTAGATGTTGCCTGAAGAGTTGAAGGTGAAGCAGAAAGTCTGGTGTGGATGAGCCTTGCAAGGAGCAATCCCAGGACAATCCCAGCAGACGCTGTGTCTTTGCAGCCAGGCAGGGGCTGTTCTTTGTCCCTGAGGTCAGGAAGAACCACAGAGCTCATATCCACACTTCAAAACTTTGTCCCCTCCATGACCTGGCCCCCAAACTTCTCCTGGAGAGCTCTGATGGTGTGGGACAGAAGCAAAAGCCTTACTTACTTAGATGGTGAGGCTGGTACTTGCACCAGTGCCCTGGCCCACTTCAACTTACTGGTGTCAACATAGTGTTCTGTAATGGAAAACACAAGGCTGGTGGGAATGGAGGGTGAAGGGGAAATGTGGGAAGAATGTGGGAACAGCAGAAATAAGGACAGGAGAAAGGGTGTCAGGAGCACAGTGTTGGAGACACCTCCAGGAGCAGGTCATGGAAGTCCAGGTATGCTGACCTGTATCTTCTTAGGACAGCCTAAGACAGGGGACAGCCTAGAGCAAGGGGCAGGCTACACCCAGACTAGGCTGAAGATTAGAGGCTGGAGGCTCTGGGAGATGATGGTGAGAAGATGAAGAACAGAACTGAGCCCATAAGACACCCCGATAAGGACACAAAAGGCTGAGTAAGTCCTGATGACTTAACAAGGTAGAACATGATGGAGTGACAAAAGGTCACAGGCACTGTCAGCTGCTAAAAGTTAATGAAGAGTTTATCAAACCCAGCACTTGAGCCCAGGAGGTGAGATGAGGACTCTGTAAATTGGTGGCCTTGTCCTATCTGTCCCTACAAGGTATCTCAGCCAAACCCCCTGGATGAATATTTCTTGGTGCCTGTAAATGTGCAGGAATGAAGCAGGGCAGCGAAATTGGTTTGGGACCCTCCTGTATGGTCTTGCACAGAGTTCTGCTGCAGTGTTGCAATGCTGATTGCTACACAGCCATATAGGCCAGTGGAGCCCTAGATGTACCCTATAAATTCATGGAGATTATCAGCCAGCCCTGCAGGGAGCTGGTGTCTCATTAAGTCACGCAGGAGCTGGGTGACTCACAGCAGCATCTGCAACACTGAGTAAACAGCTGGATATTTCTGGTTCTCTAATACACAGTGTGTTATTAGCCTAGGCTCCTCACAGCGATGGTACAGATGTGGTCAAGCTGTTGATTCATCAGCCATCCCTTCATTTTCTGTTTTAATCTGATGGTCACTGCCAGACTGCTCTGACAGGTCAGAGGTTCAAAAGACATTGTGTTCCTAAAGACTTGTCTTGGGGTGTAGGCGAGCAAAGGGAAGACAAAAAGCCCACCCTGGCTTCCACCAAGAAAAACACAGTGGTAGGACCTCAGCCCTAATGAGACGGATATCAGAGAATCCACAAGGATGCTTCATCCCGTTTGAATTTCCTCACCTCTTGCCTTGTTATCCCAGGAGCCTTACAACGTGGAGAGGATCCTCTGGCTGCTCTCGGGCTCTGACAGCCACCTGATAAAAACTCTGATGGAGCAATTCAACATCTCAAAAAGGCTGAAGCTGCCAGAGGATTTGCACAGAAAGGTCAGTTCCTCATCCATACAACACTGTGCCTGTGTGTATGTGTGTGTGTAAGATTATTGCTACCAGGTATTTCCAATTCATTTTCAGAATAAAAAAAAAAAAATCATAGTGGAGAGTATGCAACCAAAAATTTAAGCATGACTCCAGAACAGTTTTATATCAATATGTATGCATGGAGATACTAAACCCCCCCCCCCTTTTTTTTTTTTAATGAATGATCTCTCTTCACAAAAGTAACTTAAAAATTACCTGCAGTTATTTAGGTAGCAATATGAAATTGGCCTATCCTTGGCCATGCACTGAGGTATCATACAGAGGATGATGGTACAAATAGGTGTTTGGGAGTGGGTCTGCTGAATTAATTGCAATTCAGCCTCACTGTTACAGCAAAGGGGAGCACAAACATAAAGCAGAGAGAGATACAAGAGAAAACCAAACATTTGAGTTGTGAGAGGGCCAGGTACAAAATCCTGTCTTTTCCTGTCCAAGTTGCGATGTGTTCTCCCTCGGAGAGCAGCCTTTGCTCAGTGCCCACTCCTGCTTGTGCTGCAGAAAGATAAATACTAAACAATTTTATTATTAAAAGCAGGAAGAGCTGTTACACTGAGGTGTACAAGTCCTTAGAAACTCCCTCAGAGTATGGAAATAGCAGTGCAGAGATGAGGAGCTGAGTCCTGGCTCCTGCCCACCCACACTCACAGCACCTGTGGAGGGAAACCCCTTGCTCACTCTCCATCCCTGTGGTTTATTCCAACAGTGCCTCATCCCCAGGCTGCATCAGCAACCCCTTTACCTTCAGTCTCTGGGGGAACCCATCCTCCAGCCTCTCTATTTCCACATGCTTTTCTGGGTGCCTGTGACACAAAGCCAGCTGGGAACGTGTTGGGTGGTGGTGCCCTGTGCAAACCTCCCTGTTTCCCCACAGCTCTCAGAGACCCTGGGATCGTGCTCAGCCTCTGACCAGGACATTGTGGGAGCCATGCGGCGCTGCTGGGAGGAGAACCAGTACCTGCTGTGCCCCCACTCTGCCGTGGCTGCTCACTACCACTTCTCACAGCCACACAGGTAGGGAGAGCCCTGGTCAGGAGCATTAGGGACTGGACCATGACTATCCCCTTGCTCCTGCAGCATCTCCAGTCCCCAGCTTGCTTACACCATAAGTTTTCTGTGCTTGTCTTTCCTTTCCAGCATCCCCCGGTGTTGCCTGGCTCCAGCTTCTGCAGCCAAATTTCAGGATGCCCTTCTCCGAGCTGGCCTGGTTCCCCAGATCCCCCCTGAAATCACTGCTCTGACAGCAATGGAGACCAGGTCCACTCCCCTGGAGCGGGGACAGGACTGGGCACAGGTGCTCCGGGGCCGGATCGAAGCTGTGGCACAGCAGTGGGAGGCACAGATGGGTCGGTCAGCACCCCAGGGCAGGTAGTCACACAGACCTGACTACTGGGCACAGCTGGACAATGCCTCCCAGGGCTCATTCTCCACTCTCAGAAAAGCCCTGTCTTGTGCTGGGAGTCTCCATGCAATGATTTATTGTCAATAATTCACTTCCTTGTGTAATTGGACTATCTTATAACATTTTCAGTAAAGAGTTCAATTATATGGACAATTTCATAACATTTTCAGTGAAGAGCACTGCAATTGTGTCCCTCTTTCCTAATAAATCAGAAAAAACTGATTAAAACTCTGAGTAAACCTGGCTATTCCATCATTACTGGCTGTTCCAGAAAGCTCTCTGAAAGCTGCCTGCTTCTTGAGCATTATCCAGTGATTCTGGCTCTGTGCTGGGATGTTCAGCCCAGCAATCCCTATAGCACCCAAGATGCTCAATAGGAAGAGTGGTGTGGATCTGCTTTACCCATCCCTGTAATTTAAGCAGTGCCAGGGATTGTTCCCAGGCATTGAAACTTGCTCTGTGATGGTGTTAAATAGCAGATTTCCAGTTAAAACTTTAGCAGTTTTCCCTGGACAAGTTTATCTTAAAGAGCTTTTGGGTCCTAGTCCTGCTTCAGACTCTTCCCAGGCAACTTCCACTGTAGCAAGTAGGAAATGGGAAATTCCCTTTATCTTCTGCCTGAAACTTCAGGTCTTTCAATACCACGTTCTCATCATATACATATAAATACATAAATACCTTGTGTGGGAGCTGCCTCCACAAGTCATGCATCTGGCAGGAATCTCTTGTGCCTAAAAAAGGGGGAAGAAAAATAGAAATAATTATACCAGGGGGGAAAAATCCCCCTTTGCCATCAAAAAAAAAATTCCGCCTTTGACATCAAAGGAAGTCCCGTAATGGGAGGATTAATTTGAAGGTTTAGTGGCATTTAACAGGCTAAAAGTAAATTCTGTGAAGTGATTCAGCTTGGGATGTTGCAGAATGTGCGGGAAGAGTGGGAAGCTTGGCCTGGGCTGCAAGCTGCCTTGCTGGCACCCAAGCAGCCTTTTCCTTGGCTCCCTCTGGCACAGCTGGCTCTGTGCCACCTCCTTCCATCCCACCGAAACCCTGCAGGAGAGGAGGGACCTGTGCCTCCTCCATGGTGGGGGCTGAGGCTGCCCCATCCCAATTAATGGGGATGAGGGAAACAGCTTAGCTGAGAATGATATAAAAACCACAGCACTTGGATGTTTTTGATGCTAACAGCTCTACTTGCATGGATTGAGCAGCTGAGAGGTGGGGTCCAGGAATGATGTTTCATGAGGCCATCGTTCACCCTTGAAGAGCCAAACCAGCAAAATACCTCTTATTTAAGCTGCACCTTCATCCTCACAAATAACCCTTCCCCAAAGCATGGCTTTGCACTGGGGGTGGTGCAGGATGTCCCTGGGGGTGGCAATAAGAAATTTCTTGATCTCTTTTGACCCCCATGATCAGCTTCTCCTTTCATTGATGCAGATGTTACGCTCATTGGACCCCACTACCCTTAACAGCTGCCTCCCCAAATCTTGCTGTTCTCAGCCAGGCCCAGTTGCAATTTAGCCCTTAATCATATCTCAAGACACCCTGTGAGAGGGGAGAGCCCCGAAATTGCACCCAGTTCTGCACCCAAGTGACAGGTTGCAAACCTGGCTGGCAAGACCCCAACCCCTCACTGGGGAGCACTGTGAAGGATGGGGTGAATAGGGCTGGATTTGCAGCCTGCCAAAATCCTGGTGTTTTTTGCAAGCAGAAAGCGTGACAAATATGTTCCATGCTCTCATCCCCTCAAGCAGTAGGATGAGTAAAGGGTCCAGCCTCATTGCAGGGTGAAAAGGTGTTTAATTCTCAATCATCCCTGAGGTTACCCTTCTGGGGTGAGGATACTACATCTCCCCCAGCCCAAATCACACTGTTTTTAGGGTAGGACACTATGAAACCCTCTCTGAGATCTCTGAAGCAGAAGAACAGCAGGAAAAGCCTGTTCCACGCCTGGAGCCAAGGCAGAGGGAGCAAGACAGGCTTGGCTTGCAGGGGGGCTGTGCTCCCACAGAGGGCAATGCACAGCCACGTGTGCCAGCCCAGTGCCTGGGATGTGGGAATGCACCTGGCCCCATGGGTGTGCTTTGTCCCACCACCTGCTCAGGGACCATGGCATCCATGTCCACTCTCACACTGGGAGCTCCCACTCTGCCTCCAGAGCTGGTGCTTGGGGCTCTGCTCTCTCATCCTTAGGTCTCTGGCTGAGAGGGAAGGTCAGCCTGGTTTGGTGGAAAGATGGAAAATGGAGGAAGGAAAGTCACACAAAAAGTGGTACCTCTTCACCCAACACTGATGGGTGGCTGTAGGCTCTGGCAGCTTGACATGTTCCCAGGGTTGATGGTATTTTAATCCTGTACCTTCCAGAGCTGATCACAAACCCAGGACAGGCTTGTCAAATAATTGATCTCATCCATCAACTGCTCTTGCTTTTCTCCAGCAAAAATTCCAGTTTCAGGTCCCTGACCCCAGTCACGTCTGACAGGTCATCCAGGAGATAGTGAAGCCCACAGACTGGTGACCATACTCCATGGGGACACTGTATTCCTCCACTAAGGGACATGGCTGGGACATGTTCCCAATTCCTACCTCAAGGAGAAAGTAATGTCTTGGGGTGGAGATGCAGTGTGTTGAGATAGAGGAATAGGGAAGCTCAGCTGGAGTTTCTACTCAATAACTCACAAGTACCAAAGCAACTTGCTGTCCTGAGCCAAACTCACTTGTAGTTGGCGTGTCCAGCAAGGGATGTGGGTGCCTGTCCTGGTGTGGTTTGGGATCTGGTGGACTACATATGGAGTCTTCCCTCTAAGCCATCTGCCTCTGTGCCCCATGGAGACTTCATCTGCCATCAGAGCCATGCTGTGGTTCAACACTCCAATCATTAAGAGTGCCATTAAGAGATCTATTTGCTAAAGGGGGACATAGAATGATGCTGACTGCTGCTCTGGCTGAGATAAAATTGAGAGGAATATAAAATCCCAAAGGAGCTGTGGGTGAGGAGTCTCTTTCCCATGAGCGGAGCACTCCAGCATTCCCCTGTGCTTTGTCACAATGTCCATCCCCATCTTCCAGCTTGTGGCCATCCCATGAATTGATCTTTGGGCAATTACTCCACTGACTGGGTTGTCACGTCCTCCTACTCCATTTATGAACTGGGAGGAGCCCACAACGTGGTGAATTATAAGCCAATGCTTTAAAACAGTGTTCTGAAGGTTTGGGAGCTGAATTATTATTTATAATGCCCTGGGGGCCCCACGTAATTTATGGACAGGTATGAAGACAAGTAGGCGCTCAGACATGGGGATGAGCCCAGTGTAAATGCTGAGATAGAAGGGCAGATAGATGGATGGATGAAGATAAGCTTCTTGGCCAAGAGAGCTGGAGATGGAAAAACTGGAGATGGAGAAGGTTGCTCAGACATCTGTGCTCTCCTAGGGTGATACCTACACTCCCACTACTCTCACGCTGTAAAAATGTCATCTCTAACGTGGTGCAAATCATTTGTTTGCTCTTATTTTTTTGAATTTATCCAAAGTGCAAAGGAAAAAAAAGTAAAAAGGAATTGCTTTGTTGTTGCAATTTGCTGCTAGGCATTCCTATGTGTGCTAATGATAAGTATTAATTAAATAGCTTTCTGTTGTCTTTTAAATGCAGTTCTTTCAGGCTGTAATTAAAAACAGACACCCAGCCCTTTCTGTCTGCATAGGAAGAGGCAGCTAGGCCTCTGGAGCTCTGCACTTCTTTCCTTGTAACAGGAGAAAAGTGGAAAATGAGGCAAAACCAGTTTCCATTGAAAACTCACTACCCTGTGCCTGTCCTTCACAGGGAAGTCAACCAGCTCAAGGAAATTAAAGGAATGTGACTTCCAGGATCACAGCCCTGCAATCAAACTAAGTTTATTTGCCCTTAAGATCTTTGAGCTTCATACATTTAAAAGGCAGAGGAGATCACTTTGTTTGATCTCTGGGCTACACAGGCTGCTGAACATCCTCCTGATGCATTCATCATGCCCAGAAGAAACTGGTCTTGTGAACATTTTGATCTGAGTAGCTGGAGATAGGATTCCATTCCTCTCACTTGTTTCTTGCTTTCCTCAGCTTTTTCACTCTTGCTGTGAAAAACCAGACACTGCTGTAAATCCCCATCCCTGTACTGCTCCTCTAGTCATTATTAATCTCCCAACTCAGGGCATGCTGCTCAGGGAAACTGGAGCTCCCACCAGCCCTACTGCCCTCTCCCTTTCCCAGCTTAAAATAGACTAAAGCCCTCTAGAAATGCAAATAAAATGTCAGATGCTCACATGATGAAAAGCAACCACCAAATAAAATTTCCCATTTGCCCACAACACTGAATGACACCTTAGCCCAAATTTTTTTTTCTGCACTTAAAGAAGACAACTGGGCTTCACTTATCTAAAATGCTGCTGTTAATCAATAGATCCATGGAAAGACAATGGCTGTCTCCTGTGCAGCTTATGGGGGTGCTGGGGGAGGATGCAGCTCAGTCAGAGGATGCCTTGGTCAGAGATGGCTCATGAGAGAAAGGTTTCTGTGTTCAACAGCTACATATACAATTTTTATTTGTGAATGGAAACATTTAATTATGCACTTGAGTAATTTATAACCTGAGATGCGTACAATTTGTGTAATAAATACACAGAAAATATAAGACAGACACATTGCCTGTGGTGGGAGCCTTGATTTGGGGCAGTGCAGCACTTTGATCAGCCAGAGTGATGCTCCTCTGCCTTGATAACTCCTCACACAGTTCATAAAACAGCCACAGCACTTTTGGGGTCCTATCAACCCAAGGCTGAATTTGTTATGGGTTTTTTTGTCTAATTCAGCCCCATGGCTATGTCTGTCTTGTGATTTTGATGCAGCTGGGCAGGTATCCACAGGCAGTTGGGAGCACAAGAAGAGGTGTGGGACACTGCAGACTCCTTCCCTGGTAAGGGGAGCACGGGGCTGGGAGCATTTTTGGGGCTGTTGGTGGCAGCAGCAGCAGAAGTGGCTCAGAGGGATTTTTTTTCCTCAATTATTTGTGTTTTAGAAATGAGAAAGGGGGAGAAATGGGATAGAAAAGGCCAAAAAAAGAAGCATTCAGAAATTAAATAATTAAAAAGGAGTTTGTGTGAACTGAATTAAAAGATTTGTTTCTTTTCAGCAAACACAAGCTTCTTTTGAGCAGAAACTGAAAAAAAAAAAAAACAACAAAAACAGATCCTTGAA